GTGAGTGGTTTGCCCGGCGCTGGAGGCGTGCTGCTGGTGCTGGAGGTCCTTCGGCTGCTGAGGGTGCTGCGGTCGCGGGTCCCGGAGGTGCTCGTCCTGGGTGCACTGGAGCTGGTGCTGCTGAGGGTGTTGGCGCTGAGACTACCGCTGGCAGTCCTACTGGGGGTGCTCCTGGTGCTGCTGGAGGTTCTGGAGCTACTGGTGGTGCTGCTGGAGCGGGTGCTCCTGCTGAGGGTTCTGGTGCTGTCCCTGCTGCTTCTAGCGTCGCCGCGCGGCCTCGACCGTACTTCGTTCCACTCCTGCAGCAGGTTCTTGGTCTTCCACCTTCTACTGGTCCTCCTCCTCCCTTAGAGTGTCCACAGCCTGTCTCGTCCCAGCTACAGTTGCAGCCTACCTCCCCTTTGCCTGCTCCTTCTCCCTACACTGGTCCTACTGGAGGTCTGGCTGAGCGTCGTGAGCCTGCGTCTCGCCCTGCGTCGCCTGTCCGTGCTGCTCGCACTAGTGGTCGCGGTTCGCGTCAGCGTCCTCCTCCTGTCCCTGGCACGCACCGGATGTCTCTGCGTCCGTCCACGGCTCCTCTGCGTGCCCCTTTGCCTTCTCCTCCTGAGTCCTCTCTTCCTGCTCTTGCCGACCCGGAGTCGGACTCTCTTCGTGCTGCCAGTCCTACTGTCACGCGTCTCCTTGCTACTGTTGTCACTGACCCTTCTTTCGAGTCTACTGCTGCGTCTGCTCTCGTTACTGAGCTCGTCGACTTTGCTGCTCGCTGTCGCTTAGACTACGCTGCTAGTCTTGTCGCTGAGTCTGAGTCTGTCTGTCCTCCGTCCGTCGGGGGTGAGTGTGCCCTTGGCACGGACGTCCTTGAGGACAGGCAGGAGGAGTTCCAGTGTCTGGCAGCTGCCTCACCTCATCTCGTGTCCGTACTGCTTACCCCTGAGGGAGACCCGGATGCACTTGACATCCCGACTCCGCGCTCTTACGCGGAGGCGATAGAGGGTCCCTACTCCTCTCAGTGGCAGGCAGCTATGGATGCAGAGATGGCTTCCTGGAAGTCCACATGCACCTACGTTGACGCTGTCCCCCCTCCTGGGGCGAACATCGTCAGTGGCATGTGGATCTTCAGGGTGAAGCGGCCGCCGGGTTCTCCGCCTGTCTTCAAGGCGCGTTACGTGGCTCGTGGCTTCAGTCAGCGGCAGGGAGTTGACTACTTTCAGACCTTCTCCCCCACCCCGAAGATGACCACTCTTCGGGTACTGCTGCACGTTGCTGCTCACCGTGACTACGAGCTGCACTCTCTTGACTTCAGCACAGCTTTCTTGCAGGGCAGCCTGCACGAGGAGATCTGGCTGCGTCGCCCACCTGGCTTCACTGGGTCTTTCCCTCCTGGTACCCAGTGGAGTCTCCGGCGTCCAGTCTACGGTCTCCGCCAGGCGCCACGTGAGTGGCACGACACACTGAGGACTACGCTTGCGGCTCTTGGGTTTGCTCCTTCTACTGCCGACCCGTCGCTGTTTCTACGCACCGACACCTCTCTGCCGCCGTTCTACATCCTCGTGTACGTCGACGACTTGGTCTTTGCCACAGCTGACACTGCTGGACTCGCCTACGTGAAGTCCGAGCTGCAGAAGAGACACACGTGCACAGACCTGGGTGAACTGCGCAGCTACCTTGGCTTGCAGATCACCCGGGACAGAGCACGCCGCACCATTACCCTGACTCAGTCACACATGGTGCAGCAGGTCCTTCAGCGCTTCGGCTTCACGTACTCCTCGCCTCAGGCCACTCCTCTGTCTACTCGCCACTCGCTCTCAGCTCTGCCTTCGGATGAGTCCGTAGAGTCGAGTGGCCCGTACCCAGAGCTTGTTGGCTGCCTCATGTACCTGATGACCTGCACACGACCTGACCTTGCATACCCTCTTAGCATTCTTGCACGCTATGTTGCTCCTGGGAGACACAGACCAGAGCACATGGCTGCAGCGAAGAGGGTGTTGCGCTACTTGTGCAGTACGTCGGGCATGGGGCTAGTGCTTGGAGGGCGGAGTCCAGTGGTCCTCACTGGGCACGCGGACGCTTCTAGGGCTGACGACCAGGCTACGCAGCGGTCGTCACAGGGTTACACCTTCAGCCTTGGTTCCGGCTCTGTTTCGTGGCGGGCTACTCGCTCGTCTTCTGTTCTTGGCTCGAGTTGTGAGGCTGAGATCTACGCCGGGGCCATGGCTGCACAGGAGCTTCGCTGGCTCACCTACCTGCTGACCGACCTTGGAGAGCCGCCTCGTTCTCCTCCAGTCCTGTACGTAGACAACAAGGCCATGCTGGCCTTGTGTCGAGAGCAGCGACTGGAGCACAGAACAAAGCACATTTCTCTCCGCTACTTCCTTGCTCGTGAGCTACAGCAACGTGGACAGTTGCGGCTTGCGTACGTGGCCTCTGAGGCCAACACTGCTGATGTCTTCACCAAGGCACTTCCGCCTTGTGATCATCAGCGCTTCTGCACTCAGCTGGGTCTTGTGCACGTCTTGCCTCACTTGCTCTCCTCTTGACCTTGCTTGTACTCTCACATATTTATATACCTGCTCTTGCTTGTCTAGCTTTATATATATGTGTGTACTCTTGCATGTGAACTGGCCGTGTGGCCTTGACCCTGTGCTCGGACTGTGTGGTGACTTTGTGATCCACCCTGAGCTTGCTTTGCTTTGCTTTGCTTGACTGGTCTTGTGACCCCTTGTTCTCCCCCACTTTGCCTATGGGGGTGTGTCAGAACATTATAGCTTATGCTGTTGTGTAGGCTATAGTGGGGTATCACATAGGGGGTACAACCAATTAGGGTTTCATATTTGTACTCACTTCATTTTCATAGTTCACTCATTCTCGTTCTCATTCTCACAACCTTTTCCCTGTCCATTGTTTTTCTTCCTTTCCCTCAGGGTACATTCCGCTCTGGACACTTTCTCAAAGAAAGTGTCTGAATCGATTGGGACATGAAGTTACAGCATATGCTGCCAGGTGTCCGAATTCCGGACCGCTCTTGTTTGTCGCAAAAAATATTTTTCATTGGGTGGCGTGAAACGCGGAACTGTCGCGGGCTAATTGCACGCCAACTCAACACACACCAGCCATCGCACGCGGTGCGAAATGTCAATCCATGCTGAATGTACCTGGTCATCATTCTACAGGGACGGATTTCAGTAGCTACGCGCACTCTGAAACGTGATTGGCCACACAAGGCTCCTTCGGAATTATTGACCATCCCGCTCATTTCGCGCCCACAGACCTTCCGCCCAGGTGCGTGTGACGCGCAGGTTGAGTGGGCAACTCACACAACGGACCAATCACATTCCTTCACACATAATTGTTCGCGAGGTCGCCGTGGGTCGCAGTACATCGATCGATTGAGACATTAGAGGGCGACTCGGGCCAAAAGTGATTCGGACACTTTCTTTGAGAAAGTGTCCACAGCGGAATGTACCCTCGATGAAAAGGACAAGGAGAGATCCGCCCAGTACCCCCGCCTGCTCGGACAAGGTCTCGCCTCTCAACCCTCCCCCGCTTTCCCCCTTTCTTGGTTTCCCCCTTCCCCCCTCTCCCTCTCCTTCCCCGGCAGTGCAAGGACAAGGAGGGATCCGCCCAGTACCCGCGCCTGCACGGCAAGTTCCAGCCGGCCTTCAAGGCAGAGTCGCTGTGTGCGCCCAGGCAGTGTGAGGCGAGTGCTTGGAGCGATGCCGGGTGGTGTGCCTTCGAAAACAACTTCTCCGTTGTGAGTATGCTGCTGCTGCATTGTTGCTGGGTGTTGCAGTTTCAAGTTTGTACGGCATTGTATGGCTTTGTACGCTGTTGCACAACGTTTTATGGTATGGTATGGTACTTTTTAAATGTAAGGGGACATTCCTGTCTTGACATTCGTGTCACAAAGCAGCGGTACCGCTCTGTACCGAATCGAACCCAAGTTCGAAATGTTTCAACAAAGCGGTTCGATTCGGTACAGAGCGGTACCGCCGCTTTGTGACACAAATGTCAAGACAGGAATGTACCCTAAGTATCTACCAGCATCGAGTGGCGGCTCTGTAATGGGGGCAGGCACTGTAGCAGCATCTTTCATTAGCACAGAAGCCTCAATCACGAAGGGAAAAAGAAAGAGAAAAGGAAAAGAAAAAAGAAAATAAAGAAAATGAATGGAAAAATAAATCCCTAGAGAACACTACAAACCTTTAGAAAGACACCTTTTAAGTCACTACCTCCATTGCTTGCTGCCTGCCCCTTATGCCTAATCTTTCATTCTGTTCTTACCCCAGGGCAAGAAGAAAAAGTTTCACTTCTGCCCGAGGGAAGGCATGAAGACGCCAACCTCAGTGCGTTACGAATATTTCCAGCCTTTTGTGGGCAGGGGACAAAACAAAGGGGAGGTGGTGCAATTGTTGGCGGTACACTTTCAGGGCAAGAAGAAATTGCTACTAGTAATGGACGACGATCCATGTGTTACATGGGGCTCTAGTAAGGACTGATTATTATTATAGTATTTGTATATATGTATAAATATTTGTTTTAGTGCCACTATTGAAGCAAGAAATTTTGTTATAACGGTTTCAATGAACGTTTATGAACATAAACCATTAGATGTCAAAAATTAGCAGCAATTGCTACACTGGAGCATTTTCGGCATACAGTGCAATATCTGTCTACAGGGTGATCTCAGCTGCAGCACACCCAACAGGCCCGGACAGGGAGGCAGGAGCAGGAGCGGCCAGTCGCACCCAGGCTCCGTGCAGGCGGGTGAGAGTGGTGCGGATGGTGGCAGCGATGGTGCGGGCGAGAGCGGGGAGGGCAGGGACGGGTGTGTGACTTTAGTGGCCTTCAGTTTCTATCACAGTCTCTGCTCTGCCTACAAGGTGACCTCTGCTGCAGGCTGCAGCGCACCTTCTGAGACGTCTCAAAAGTCCTTCTGAGATGTCTCAAGGGGCAGGGACGGGTGTGTGGGCTCTAGTGGCCTTCAGTTTCTATCGCCTCTGCTACAAGGTTATCTCTGCTGCAGCATACCCAACAGCACCAGGCAGGGAGGCAGGAGCAGGAGCAGCCAGTCGCACCCAGGTTCTGTGCACGCGGGGGAGAGAGGTGCGGATGGTGGTCGCGATGGTGTGAGCGAGCGCAGGCAGGGCGGGGGGAGTGAGAGGAGGGAGCTGCTGGTTCTCAACGTGCCACCGTGCAATGCTGAAGGGGAGGGGAAGTGGGGGAGAGGGATAGGGGGGTGGGGAGAGGGAGGATGAGGGCGAGGGAGGCGAGTGAGAGGAGGGAGCTGCTGGTTCTCAGCGTGCCACCGTGCAATGCTGAAGGGACAAAACGAAGGATAGGTGGGGAGGGGGGAGAGTAGGGGGGAGTGGGGGGGAAAGGGGGAAGAGGAGGGGGAATGGAGTTGTTTGGCTATTTTTGAGTCAACTAAAAAAAGGGGGAGTGGAGGCGTTTGGGGAAGATATGGAAGGAACACGTGGTGGGCAAAACAGAGGGGAGTATGAGAGCGAGACAAAAGGGCGCTCCCAGTTCTTCTGTGTTACAGGGCACAATTCAAGGGAAAAACCAGGTGGTGTGCTAGGAGTTATTGAAAAACAGTGAAACACACTCACTTGTAGATCTCCCCATAGTCCACCGAGTCTTGAAGCTCATCGGACTGCGCTGCAGCAGCACCGCACTCAAGATTTGCACTCATATGGAAGTTTATGATGCTTTGATCACACTCACTTGTAGACCTCCCCATAGTCTACCGAGTCTTGCAGTTCATCGGACTGTGCTGCTGCAGCCAGGTTCACCCACGCACACACATCCACCTCCATACGCGCACAACAGCTCTCAACGCCACCTACAGGCGACTCAACAGGCACTCACGTGTAGATCTCCCCGTAATCCACCGAGTCTTGAAGCTCGTCTGACTGCGCTGCGGCAGCCAGGTTCACCCACGCACACACATCCACCTCCACCCGCGCACACGGAGCCTCCACGCCTGCATGAAAACTCTGGAAACTTGCACCACGCGACCCTCTCTCTCCCCCGTCTCCACCTCTCCCTTCACCATCTGATGTCTCTCCCTCTCCCCTCTCTCCCCTCTCTCCCCCCTCTCCCCTTTCAATCCGATCTCCTCTCCCTCCCCTGCCCTGACAGTAGAACACCAGTCCTTCCAGAACCAGCATACTACTCTCCCCTTCCACCACCACCACCGTCGCATCCCCACGTCCCTGCTTCCCCCCTCTTTCGTCCTCCTCTTCTCTTTCCGTCTTGTTCAAAAGCGTCTCAATATCCCGCTGTCCCTGCATTTCCCCTCCTTCCCCCTCCTCTTCTCGTCTCTCTTTCTTCCCTTCAGTGTCACCCATTTGGTCGCCTTCCCTTCTGCCTGAGGGGAATTTGAGGGGACGGATGGGTGCCGGGAACTGGAGGGATTGAGGGTTGGAAACAAATTGAGTGATGGAGGGTTGGTGGGAAAAGGAGGGATCCAATGAGTAAAATACTGCCAAAACCGAAACAAATGTTTTCTGTGAAACAAATGGTTCAATAGAAGTGGGAGAGGACCCAGGTAATAGACCAGAGAGCTACCATAACAGAACTAAGGCTAATGCTTGTAAATATAAATTAGTATGGTTTGCACTCACAGTGTTTGTCGCTTGCACTCCAGCTGGATTCCGACGGATTTGAGCACCCCTGTGAAGGCGACATGTGGCTTGCTGACGCGGACAGCCACACGCACCAGCTCAGGACACGTCAGCAACAGCTGGCGGCCCACGGAATACGCCACGCTCTCCAATAGGAGGTGAGGGGGTCCCGTTAGTTCCGCACGCACAATGCTGGGGTGGGAAAGGAGACGGGAAAAAGGAGGAATGGGGAAAGAGAGCAGGGGCAACGGACAGCATTAGGCGCAAAGCCATGCAGCGGAGGTCACTTGGTAAGAGGCCCATTCTGTGTCTCAGCACGGACATAGATGGGATGGGAAAGGGGGGAAAAGGGAGGGGGGAAGGGAGAGGGGGGGGGCGGGGGAGGGGGGCGGGGGGTAGGGGGAGGGGGGAGGGGGGAAGGAGAGGGATAGTGGAACAGGGGAGGAAGGGAGAAAGTAAGGGGCGGGGGAGTGGGAGGGAAGGGAAGGAAAAGAGAGGGGAGGGCAGAGGAGATGGGAGAATGGATAGGAGTGGGGAGGATCGGAGGAGAGTAAACGATCGCGAGCGATCTTACTTGTACACGTGGGCGTAATCGAAGGGCCGTTCTTGTAACGGGTCATTTTGCGAAGCTTTATCTTGCGACGAATTTTCTTGTAACGGATGTTGGTGCGGCGAATCCGCGAGCCACATCCACGTGTCAACGACGAACTTCTGCCCCAACACGCGCTCTTCGGGCAGAACCCCGTGAAACCCGTGAAAGACCATCCCCTCGAGCGACACGTGGCACGTCTGTACGGGGCTTCCTCCTGCGCTGCATGGCGGTGCGATCGGCATTTCGACAGATCGGATGAAATATAAACGACTTTTGAGGCGGCTCAAATCTCGGGATGAATTGTAAACGACCGGGTTTTGAGACGTCTCACAACTGGCTTCCTCCTGCGCTGCATGGCGGTGCGATCGGCATTTCGTCAGATAAAAACGAAACGACCAGCACAGGCTTATTCGCGGCTACGTTTGAGGCGTCTTAGAAGCTGGCTGTGCGATCAGATGAAATAAAAACGACCAGCACACGCTTATTCGCGGTTCCCCTCTTCTCTTAGTGGCTGCCACAGCAGTTACTTGTGCGCTGAGGGCGTGTCTGAAGTGAAACGTCGACGAATGTACAGTTTCGTCGAGGAATGTCGGTGAGTGTCAACCCTCGGATCGAGTGTTCCAACCGTCAGGATTCCTCGACATCCCTCAAAGTTTCGTCGAGGAATGTCGACGTTCACTTCAGACACGCTCTAATGACGGCTCAGATGGCGTTCACAGCAAGTTCCCCCAAAGCGAACCGCGCTCAACAAGAGTGCACAGATATTTGTGAAGCACGTGTTTGGGGTTGCTTCACGAAAGCTTGTCATGAACGATCTTAAAGTCGACGGGGTTACATGCACCTGATTGGGTTTGATAATTCGCTCAAACTCGTTTAGGTGTGTATCCACATTCGCATGGCACGTGGAGTGGGTGTGGTCAGCTGCAAAACTGCCATGCTGGACCCAAATATCCGCACTTTTTGGCCTCTTGGGGCTACTTCGCTTGGGGGAACTTGCTGTGAACGCCATCTCACTCGATGGAACAGTATTGGGATTAGGTGATCTATGACGACGCGACTCGATGGAACAGTATTGAGATTGCCTGACACTGGAAACGAAAATGAGTGCTGGGATTTTGATCGCTTGGTTGAGAACCCTTCTAGTCGTCGATGTTTTCTGGACCGCATTATGAAAACTTCGTCTCGACAAAAGAACAAGTGTACACATTTGTTTTCGAATATATCTAACAAATCAACCTCTAAACATATCATCTATTCTCTTCTGCTTCTTCTTTGGACCAGTCTTGCCCTCGCCTCTATCCATCTCCCTAGAACCACCCTTATAAACAGAACCCCCTCTTCTCGTCTGATTTGATTTACCTCCTACATCCACCACATCACCACTATTGGCAGGTAATGTAGACTTCCTTGATACGGCACGATCCCTTGATGTAGCAGGATCCGTTGTAGCGGTAACTGGCTGATTTCCTGATGTGCTCGCACCGGCAGCCGCACGATTTGCAGCGTAGGCTGCACCCATGACATCTCGACACCGTTTACTGGCTTCCGCATGGTCGACAACTGGGAGTGGAAGCGGGGTGGAGAAAAGGAATGCACAGAGATGCCGATAATTTTTTCGACTCAACACTCGACACCGCTTACTGGCCTCCGCATGGTTGACAAATGGGAGCGGAAGCGGGGTGGAGAAATGGGAGGCACAAAATGCATCAGCAGCTATGCAGTTTGCAGCGTAGGCTGCCCCCATGACGTCTCGACACCGCTTACTGGCTTCTGCATGGTCGACAACTGCGTGTAGAATTGGGATGGAGACAAGGAGAGCACAGGAAACAGTCATGCGGCCAACTACGCATTCGTTTCGAAGGCGGCTAAATAAACGCCCACTCCCACAAGAGGAAAATTCGGCTTGGAAGTGACACAACAAAAAACGATCAACAATGTCACCCAGCCACAACAAACTTGTAAAATTATTTATCAACTTTGTAGTAATGAATAAGGGAATGGCTCACTAGGATGAGGGTAGTCCTTCCCAATGACGCAGCTGGCCTTGCGTTGCACGGCCAGCGGTGCGGTCCAAGGCTCGTAAATGTACTGCGATGGCATGTCTGGCGGGTGAGCATTCAGGTGTTGGATCATCAAAAGAAGGTTGGGGAGGGGAGGTTCATCGATCTTCAATGTACTGCGACGGCATCTCTGGTGGGTGAACATGCAGGTGTAACACGGCCTTCGGCACACATAATACAATATTGCTGTGGTTAGTTTTGAAAATTCTTGAAAAACACAAAGAAGCAGCGGAATAAGCACAGAGATAAATACCTTTGAGAACAGGCAGGAAATGGCAGACGAATTTCCCCGAAGGGTCGTATTTCTTGCCGAAGGTGACGGGAGAGTAGATACGGTGGTACTGGGAGAAGAAGGCAGAGGCGGACTGGTGACTTTTGAGTCGACTCAAAACAAACCTTTGAGAACAGGCAGGAAATGGCGGATGAATTTCCCCGTGGGGTCGTATTTCTTGCCAAAGGTGACGGGGGAGTAGATGCGGTGGTACTGGGAGAAGAAAGCAGAGGCGGAGAGCCAGAGCCAGTTGCCGTTGTTGATGGCCCAATCAGAGTCCACCAGTAGACGGTCGAATACATCTCGGCCCAGTTCCCAGTGCACCAGCTGTGTGAATGCAGCGCAGGGGAGGAGGGAGGGGTTGGGAGGAGTGGAGCAGGGTTTGGGTGGGCGTATTGTGAGTCACCACACACAGCAGGCGGTCGAATACATCTCTCCCCAGCTCCCAGTGCACCAGCTGCGTGCATTCAGAGCAGGGGAGCGGGAGGGGGGAAGGGGAGGTGTAGAGTTGTGTTGTGAGTCACCACCGCACAACAGGCGGTGCACACACGTCCTTCCCAGATGGGTGATGGACGAGTAGATGCGGTGGTACTGGGAGAAGAAGGCAGAGGCGGAGAGCCAGAGCCAGTTGCCACTGTTGATGGCCAAATCCCCATCCAGCAGCAGCCGGTCAAACACATCCCGACCCAGCTCCCAGTGCACCAACTGTGTCTATGCGGGAGTGGGGAGAGGAGGAAAGGGTTGGGAGGAGTGAGTGGAGCAGGGTTTGGTTGGGGTATTGTGAGTCACCACAGCCAGTCACACATATCCTGCAGGGCAGTGGTGGTGGTGGTAGTGGGAGAAGAAGGCAGAGGCGGAGAGCCAAAGCCAGTTGCCGTTGTTGATGGCCCAATCCGCATCTAGTAACAGGCGGTCAAATACGTCCCGGCCCAGTTCCCCGTGCACCAGCTGCGCAGTGAGGCGATGACATCAAAGTGAATGGTGAAGGATACGGAAAGCGATGATATCAAAGCGTTTGGCAAATGGTTAAATTGGTGTCCGGGTGTCAGTCGTGCAATGTCCCGCCTGACACCCGGACACCAATTTAACCACTTGCCAAACGCTTTGATGTCATCACTACCTATATCCTTCACCAGCCGCGCAGTAAAAATAATCCTGCCCCATCCCACAGTGCACTAGCTGTGCGGTTGGAGGTGGCGGAGAGAAGGGAGGGGCTGGGAGGAGTGGAGCAGGGTTTAGGTGGGTGTAGTGTGAGTCACCACAGCACAGCAATCAGTCACACTTTTCTCCAAATGGGTGATGGGAGAATAAATGCAGTGGTGGTGGGGTACGCAGGCAGAGGCCGAGACAAAGCAGGCAGGGTATGGTGATTCATCGAACCAGAGCACCACCTACGTGCACCAATTGAAGAGTAAATTAGACAAACTAGTAGCAAAAAGCACCAACCCCAGAGCAGGAACCTACCAGATCGCCTCGAGTGAGGAAGCACGCAACGCAGTGGCGTGCCAGATGGTGCATCCACCCCCACTGGCGAAGCTGGGAGGGGGATGGGTTGGGAAGGGAGTGAGGCGAAGGGGGGGGAGATGGGCGCAGCAGGAGAGAAGTGAGTGAGGAAGCACGCGAAGCAGTGGCGAGCCAGATGGTGCATCCACCCCCACTGGCGAAGCTGGGAGGGGGATGGGGTGGGGGAGGGAGAGGCAAAAGAGGGAGGAGTGAGTCCATTACAAGAACAGAAGGGAGTGAGGAAGCACTTGACACAGTGGCGTGCCAGATGGTGCATCCACCCCCACTGGCGGAGCTGGGAGGGGGGTAGGAGGGAAGGGGGTGAAAACAGCAGGACAGAGGGGAATGAGGCAAGAAGTCACAGCAATGGCGTTTCTATAGAGACCCCTGGCCACATCACTCACTCCACCACATGCTGCCGGCCTGCTCCAGGTACCACCTCCCCCACATCCTACCTGCACCATGATAGCATCTCTCCACGCAGCCAGCAGCTCTGGATCTACCTTCCAGGGAATCTGCCTACCCCAGCAGGTACTGCCTGAATCAGGTGATACCTGCAGACAATACCACCTATTTCGCTCCGTACCTGCACCATAATGGCGTCAATCCAAGGGAACCCAGTCCGGGCATCTCGCCACACAGCCAGCAGCTCTGAATCCACCTTCCAGGGGATCTGCCTGCAGATGCTGCTGCCCTGCATGCAATCAAAGTGGGGCGTGCCGTACGCCGCTGTGTAGAAAAACTCCCGCCACAGCAGCTGGTGCCGGGGGGGTCAGGGGCAGGGACAGGGGCAAGTATGGGTGGGAGAGTGAGAAACCTGCCTGCGGATGCTGCTGCCCTGCACGCGGTCAGTCAAAGTGAAGTGTGCCGTACGCTGCGGTGTAGAAGAACTCACACCACAGCAGCTGGTGCGGGGAGTCAGGGAGAAACAGTCAGGGATAGGTGGGAGGGAAAGTGAGGTAATGAATGTTTCAACGGATGCTGTTGCCCTGCATACGGTCGAAGTGGGGCGTGCCATACGCTTCCGTGTAGAAAAACTCTCGCAACAGCAGCTGGTGTGGGGAGTCAGGGAGTTAGGATAGGTGGAAAACGGGATGGATGGAGGAGGTATGCGGGCATGACTTCTGAGGCGACTCAACAGCCGTTTCATCCAATGCTGCCTGCTGGGCTGCAGTGCGTGCAATCAGAATGGGTGTCATGTATGTTGCTGTCCTTTGAGATGCCTCAAAATTGACTGCATTCGATCAGAATGGGTGTCTTGTTTGTAGCTGTGCTGCATGCATATTGATCCCGTCTCAACACCCATCCCGTCTCAATACATGTCTCCGTTCCGAGTCCGTACAAGCATGCCCCCTCTCACCTGCCCTATCAGGGACACTGGCGGTTTTGTGTGGCCGGGCTGTTTGGCAAGCACCTCCTGAATGCGCGCATACATGAGGCGCGAGGAGAGGCAGCCAAACTGAGGGTTGCAAAGGATGGGGTTAAGACAGGGGAAAAGAGAATGGGAAGACGAAACGGTTGGTGTTGGGAAGAGGCACTTAAAGGCAGTGAGCATATGTGAGAAGAGAAGGGAGGCAGCCAAACTGGGTGTTAGAGACAGGGGAAATTACCTTGAGGTAGGGAGAGAGAACTGTAGTGGCAGGAGGGGCGAGGGCGGAAGGATCACCCTTGGGCTTCTCAAAATCCTTCACCCATTTCTGTGACACACACAGAGGGGGTGGGTTGGTTGGATAATTTGAAAACCCTTGGTGAATTCTCACAAGTGATTCACGCAGGGTGAGTGCGGGGGGATCACCCTTGGGCTTCTCGAGTTCTTTCACCCATTTATGTGACACACACGGAAGAATGCACAAAACAAAAGGCAAGCAGCTAGTCTTGGCTCGAATGGACCTCAGCCACAGCTAATTCTTTTGCGGAAACTTCAAGCCAGAGCGGTCAAGGGCAGTGGGCTGAAGGGTGGTGTTCATAACTCTGAAACTTCTTAAAAGCTACAAAATAGTGGTGGTGCTGTGCTGAGCATAGCATACCGTTCGTGAGAGGCAATCGTCAACTTTTGAGTCGACTCATAGCATACCGTTCGTAAGAGGCAATCGTCGAGTCTGCGTAGAGCCTCTGTCTCCCCGCCTCGGAACGGAGTGACGTCCTGTGGTAAAGCGGGAGAAGTGGGGTTCGAGAGGAGGCGGAGAGGGGGTTTGAGAGAGAGGAGGATGCACGAAAGCTGAAGAAAGCTGAAGAAAGCTGAAGAAAGCTGAAGAAAGCTGAAGAAAGCTGAAGAAAGCTCAAGAAAGCTGAAGAAAGCTCAAGAAAGCTCAAGAAGGCTCAAGAAGGCTCAAGAAAGCTCAAGAAAGCTCAAGAAAGCTCAAGAAAGCTCAAGAAAGCTCAAGAAAGCTCAAGAAAGCTCAAGAAAGCTCAAGAAAGCTCAAGAAAGCTCAAGAAAGCTCAAGAAAGCTCAAGAAAGCTCAAGAAAGCTCAAGAAAGCTCGCGGGGAAGAGGAGGGGGACGGGGTGACTTCAGTGAGGTTTGATGCGTCTCATTATGCAACCAAAAAGGAATGATGAGACGAGCTGCAAGTGAAGACGAGGCGTACAGGTGCAAATCAAAATGGCTGCAATGTCTACAACCCATCACACTCAACCTCCCTCTGCACCACCACAGTTTCCCCCTCCCGTTCCCAACCCGTCTTCTCAAGACATACCGCCTTCCCATCCCTTTCCCTGCCATCCCCACTCGCATTGTCTCTGCACAGCAATCACCTCTTTTGGGAAAGCTTCTGCATCTGAGTAGCCAAGGTCACTCAATGTAGGCACTGCCTCAAAGACCTCGATATAGTCACACATCTGTGCTTCCTCTACTCCTTCTCCTGGACCTGGGTCTGCTTCTGCCTTTGCAGTCACGCGATGAGCGAGGTGGGGTGGCAGGGCCGGTAGTTTGTCTGGAGCGGGTCCGACGGGCGGTGAGGGTTGTCCTATTCGTTTGCAGAACGCCTGGTAGGTGAGGGGCGGTTTGCCTCCATTCTGGAAAAGCAGGAGTGGGGAGAGAGCGAGGGCGGGGAGAAAAAGGGGAGGATAAAAAGGGGGAAAGGGGATGAGAGAGATTGAGGGAGCAGAGAGAGGGCGAAGGGAGAAGGGAGGACGAGAGAAAACGAAAGTGACAGAGGGAACAGGAAGACTGGAAAAGTGCTCATGGTTTCAAAGGAGAACGAATAACAAAGTTGTGTACACTTGATCGATCAGTTGACGAGGGTAGTCAGTGCATTCAGAGAACCCAACTCTGTAAGCTAAGACAGACCTGGGTTGTCTAAATGAAGAAGTGGGTTGTCCAACACTCACCTTGCTGATGATTTCAGATTGGACTATTTTTTAGGCACTTCAGGAAAGAGCCAAGACAGAAACAATCACCTTGTTGATGATTTCAGCTGGGTCGAAGATGGTGTGGCTGACTGGGGTTACCACCCGCACCCCTGCTTCCTGCATGCTCGCCTGGAGGGAAAGGGGATGGGATGAGGAAGATGGGGTTGGAGTGGATTGGGTGAGACTGGGTTAGGGATGCAGGCAGGAGGGATGCAGGCAGGAGGGATGCAGGCAGGAGGGATGCAGGCAGGAGGGATGCAGGCAGGAGGGATGCAGGCAACAGCGTGAAGGGAAGAAAGGAGTTGAGGGGAGGGAGAGAGGGTGAATGTGAACCAGCACATCACATTAATCATCATCGTCCATGCCATCCCATGCCATGCCATGCCATGCATGCACTCACCTTGATCTTGTCATCCCGAGCCAGGGCATACGGCTCGGTGTCAAACTCAAAGCACAGCGTCTTTGCTCCCCACTGAAGGAGTGTGAGAGGTAGCGTCCACTATCGTTTATGCCATGCCATGCCATTCCATGCCATGCCATGCAACCCACCTTGATCTTGCCATCCCGAGCCAGGGCGTACGGCTCGGTGTCAGACTCAAGGCACAGCGTCTTCGCTCCACACTGCAATGCTCCCCACTGCAAGGGGGTGAGAGGTGGCATTCCATGCCATGCCATGCCATGCCATGCCAAGCCACCCACCTTGATCTTGTCATCTCGAGCCAGGGCGTACGGCTCGGTGTCAAACTCAAAGCACAGCGACCTCGCTCCCCACTGTAAGAGGGTAAGAGGTGCCATGCACTAACGTCCATCCCATACCATGCCATGCCATGACGCCATGCAACCCACCTTGCTCTTACCATCCCGAGCCAGGGCGTACGGCTCAGTGTCAAACTCAAAACACAGCGACCTCGCTCCCCACTGTAAGAGGGTGAGAGGTGCCATGCACTAACGTCCATGCCATGCCACCCACCTTGATCTTGCCATCTCGAGCCAGGGCGTACGGCTCCGTGTCAAACTCAAAGCACAGCGTCTTCGCTCCACACTGTAAGAGGGCGAAGTTGCATAAAGAAAGAAAGATATATATATTTCGGACACAGTCTCACAATAGAAAAACATCCAAAACAGCTGCCTACCTGATTCACGAGCTTCGGAATCACTATGGTGGGGTCGCCTTTAACAAGTATAAGTCGAGATCCCCGGGCCTTCAGCTGGCTGGTGAAGTGAGGGGAAACAGAGAGGCATAAGGGCAAACCTTGGTTGGAAAAGAAGCACGCAGAATTTCACCTAACTAGGTCACATGATTTGAGCCGTAATCACCAGTCTAGATCAGAGTCACTTTTGAAAATTCTCGGAATTATTTTAAATGAAATCACCTGTCTAGGTCGTTCAGGCAGTCCAGCAGGAACCGAATCCGGTTGATTCCTACGCGGGTGGACCCAGGGGAAGGAGCGGAAGGGTCGGGAGCCAGAAACCACGGGTCCAGGACGAACACGGGACAGAGCTGACGGATTGCTGACTTGGCATTTAAAGGTGGCTCGGCAGAATCAAGGTTGCTGTTGCTGGCACTGCCAGGCTCGGATTTGGGAAAGGCGGTGTTGCTGCTGAGTGTACTGCTTGTAGTGGCAACAGGGCCGGGCTTAGTGCCATCGGCAGGTAGCATTTCGCTCGCCTTCGCGAACCCCGTGCGAAGCTTTCGTGAGTCCGAACTTGGTTCATTACTTTCGCCATCTAATTCGTTTCCGTTTTCGTCGAGTCCGCAAGCAGCGAGCAGAGCGGGGTTATCGTGGAGTCGCAGGCCCTTTCGGAACCACAGAACCGCGGTTTCTCCCTGAAGCGTTTTCTGAGAATTTTCAACAGACACTGCGGTTTCCCGCGGAGGCGAGTCCGACAAATCATTCGCCTTCGGCATCGCGAGTCGCTGAACAGCACTTTCCCCGGACGCTTCTTGCGTCAGTGAGGCGATTCGAGACGCAGTCGTACTATTAAACGCCGGTTGTACGGCGATCAAGGTTCTTATTACGCCGGCCAGGCGTGGCGGCGGAGCGGCACGGCGGTATGATGGCGACAGGAATATTTTTTCGCCTCGGCCGAACCTGTATGTCGTGAGAGAGAAGCTCGGAGGAAAGCGGATGGAGGAGAGCGGGACGCGGGGCTGTCGATACGGCGAGAGGCGAAATGCTCCACAGGCAATTTCGAAGTGCAGCCACGTGAGGGCTCTCATGTCCCAATTGTCATGCTCGAAACTGTTATGTTAGCCAGCAGAGAATTATAATTCTACGCTTGTTGTTGTTCCCCGACACTTGAGCGTTCAGTTGACGGCTTGCGAAGAAACAAAACCTATTTGTATCTGGGGCACGCTTCCACTCGGTAGACAGCATTTCCGCCTTCGGTAGAAGGGTTGGTTGAAGAGTCGAGTGTTCTTTGTGCTTGCAGAGGCCATGGCTAATGGCCGTGAAATTCGTGGAATCGCACATGCCGAGGGAGGTGTGGAGGGATAGGCCATAGTGAAGCCACGACGATTCTGCTTCCACCACGCAGCATGCACTGCAAAACACAACTCCACACGGGTGGGCTGTTGCCAAGAGTTCACGTGTCAATCAATGTCAGTTTCCAGGCACATAACTAACGGTACAGAGCGGTGGTCTGAACCATCCCTTTCTAAATGCACAGCATCGTACTCAACCGTTGCTTGAGCAAAGCCTTGTCGAGGTGGAATGATGCGCCTCCCTCGAGATTGTACTGTATGTCAGTTGTGCTTTCTGTAACGAAATTGGTGTACGAGTGGGGATTGAGCTGGTACGTTAAAGTACGGAGATGTTACTAGCGAGTACATACTGAAATACTCACCAAACCGACCACTGTACATTTCGGCTTGGTTCGGTCGTGTCCAGGGATCCAGGCTGGACCCACTTGACGAGTCAGACTGTAGCGCAACATTTTTATGTATTCGGGCAGGGCTCGAAGCTGCTTGACAGAGATCTTTGTTCAAGGTCTTTTCAGGGTCCAGTATGGAAAATTCCTTCACCTAATTTGCCGGAAAACGGCAACTTGAACAGCAAGTTCAAGTATGAAAAGTTCAGTATGGACGGCTCTTATATTATTTTCTGGACCTACGGGTTGTACATAAAGGCATCCTTCTTGGACCTAAAGCACTTTGTACCAAAGGTTGACCAGTAAACACGCTTCTGGGAGACCGTTTCGTGACGGAGGTCCCTCCGCTCCGACAGATCATGCGGGAACCTTGGAAAGCAGAACGTTGAGAAAGGGCAACCACACTCTCGATTTTTTCAACAGTTCATCTTCTCTGCTGTTACAGTATGTGGGAGACTTCAATGCTATGGCTTCCCTCCCTCCCATTCTATCAGTCCTCCCAACTATCAGGTTGCCAGCAACCACTGTTGTATAAACTGTACACCATATTCTCTCTAATTTCACACCCCCGAATCCCGAACCGCGAAAAAATGCCTGGGAGGAAGTGAAATTATCCGGGCAAAAAAAGTTCCCAATAATTTCACCCACGAGGCGCGAATTTGTTGTGCTGACTGGGCTTCGAAATGCAGGAACAGTTTGACGAACTGAGGACTTTGTGCTGACAAGGACTAGAGTTGAAAATGAATGTTGACTGATTCTCCGAATATTTAACCCCAATGAAAGATGAGCACGTCGAGTTGCTTATCTCAATTCGGACCAGTCAGAATCGACTAAAATCCTTGTCGAAACTTAGAGTCAGATACCCTCGTTCTTCATAGGTCCTCAGGTTGGTTACTGGAGAAAAATCAACCCCCTATTCATTTATTCGAGCTTTGTATAATGACACGCAGAATGAAACTACGTTATTTACTACGAAATTAGACGGGACCTAGGATGAACCCAGCAACCCCGTTCCACCCCACTCCTCGGAGTAAAAGGCCCTGTTCGATAGCCCTTTGGGCCACCACGATGCAACCATTTGGTTTGGCTCTGTCGCCCAAATGGTTCAGGGCCACGACAAAAAGCAAGTGGTGGGACTGCGCCGGCAGTGTAATAAATGGAGCCGGCTCTATTCACCAAGTGTAACGGCCGAAATGGATGGAAACCTGCACCCCAACGGCCCTTTGGGGTGAAACACGGAGGGCTGGGGGATCCACGGTCAGCGTCAAAAAGGATGCCGCTTTCAAAATGTTAGAGGCGAAAAAACAATAAAATGGTCCCGATCGGTTCAGACGCGATTTCCATGTGTCGAAAGGATATCGCGTCTCACAGGCTACCCGTTGTTTTTGTCTAGAGTACCAAGAATTAACCAAACGGTCTAGCATTGGGGCCACTCATTTCAAAATGAACATTGGCAATGACCCCCCAATGGTCTAGAGTTTTGCCAGAGAGAAGCTGTGTACACCTGGTCCGCGGTAAATTAAACCACCGGTATCTGAACCGCGTTTGTCGGTATGCTGGGTGTTTTCTGTTGGGTGGCCAGAAATCGCTGTTCACACTTGACCGAACCAAGTTGGAGAATCGCTGAGCCTTTTTTCGATATTTCAGCTCGCGCCGCGCATGGGGCAGGCGACTTTTCCACCAGGATTTTCACGACAAAATCTCCACCGTCGATGTTCTTACTTTCCTGACACTCTAACATTCCAGATGGCGAGAAAATTCACGGTGCTCCTTTTGAGGAGTACTATCAGAACTTTCCATGCTGTTCAGATATTTGGTGGTGAAAATAGTGACCCAAAAATTGCACCTCTATTTTCACCACGGCCAGATAATCCAAAATCGTGCTACCCATTTTCGCGCGGTTAAAATACCACGGACTAGGTGTAGATGCCGTAATCATTGTGCGGCAGTCATTGTTTTTGCGCGCTGTGGTGTCAAACTACCCCGTCTGAACTTCCCGCCTTGTTTTCCCGCGTGGGCCTGAAATTCTTCTCATCGCAGGGGGGTCGTTCACGAAAGCGGGAAACTCGTCTCATCGCAGGGGGGTCGTTCGCGCTGGCGGGAATTTAATCTCGTCGCATGGGGGTCGCAAGCGTCGCAAACCGTTTCCCGCCCAACAAACAAGGTCACCTCAAAGATTTTTCGTCCAGTTCACCCTCGCTATCGAACAGGGCCTAAAACGCCCTCATTCTCGCATTTCCATTCAGTGATGTTCAACCACGCCTCGCCAGCTTGGCAGCCCTAAGGCTTTGCCGAAGTAACCGAAGCGCGGTGTGAAATTAGGGGGTGTGAAATTATCGAGAATAGGGTGTACAGGTTTCTCCGTTCCTCCCATCATTACGCCGTGGAAAGCACGGATCCACCCACTTCCACCTTCACTTCCTGCTCTGACACTCGGAGCTTGCACATGAAATAAAAAACAATGTAGGTGTAAGGAAATTTCATTTTCCTTACTTCGCGTCCCTGCTCAGCGCGTACACCACTGTTCCCACCCACAGCACCCAACAGTAATCCGTTACCACTCGCGACACTCGCTTCGACACCATTCCCGCCACCATTCACGACGCGACCCAACCTCACGGTTCGGTTGGTAACCCGCGCTCCGGACCTCCGCCTCGACACTTTCCCAACCTCGGCACCAGGCCCGTCGCGCACCCCATTTTCCACACATTACCGTTACCACTGTAGTTTCGCTATATATTCTTCGCTCATGCCTTCGCTCATTGTACTCTTGCTTCGATAGTGCAGTTCTCGTTCGCTCACTCAATTGCACTCGTAACACTTGGTATTCAGAGCCTACGATCTCTTCTCGGACCGCACCCACACCTTCGCTTCCCCACTATCTCAATTTTTGGGGGGGGGTAGACGTCTCTCAGCGACACAGCACCGCCGCTTGTAGTGCTCTCTCGTAAGCACGCACGGCCACGACCGAGGCTCTCGCTGAGCTTGCCCGACACCCCCACCATGGGCGAATTCAATCTCGCGACCTTGACGCAGGAGCAGCTCGACCGTCTGGTGCGCCAAGTTGAAGATTCGGCACTCGAAATAGCGACGCTCACGGCGGAACGTGACTCCGCGCGTCAGCAGTCTTCGGTGAACACTCCAGCAGCACCACACGCACCAACAAATGCACCTGCACAATCGGACGAGCCAATCATCATCTCGTCCGGTACACCAACACAGCACGACAGCGTGGGACAGCGCTCAGGTGCAGCCAGTGATAGCGCCGCCCAACCAATGCCTGGCATGGGAGGAAACAGGGTTGCGCCAAGCCCGCGGGAGCCTCGCGAAGCCCGTCGGCACGTGGAGTTTGCAGCGACAAATGGCGGACAGGCCATTATGGCACCAATGCCACTCAAGCCGCAACGCCCGCCCTGCTTCGACCCGAGCCAGCGTGGAGGTCCGACGGTTCAATCGTGGGTCTTCACGATGAACGTCTTCTTCGACGCGAATTACGTCGAGTCGGACGCAGCGAAGATTCGGTATGCCGTTTCGCTGCTAAGGGGCCCCGCCATGGACTGGTGGCGAGTCATCGTGACGTCGCCACGCGCCTACGAGCCACCGTCGCAAGAGGAAGGGCCCACGGGTCCAGCTGTCACCTGGAGTTCTTTTTGCGAGACTGCCCAATACAGCACGTGGGATGCGTGGTGCGCAGGGCTTCGGGCGCGCTTCGAGCCAATCGCGGCTTCTATTTCGGCGCGTCAGAGGTTGCGCACTTGGCGGCAGCTCGGGTCGGTTCAAGATTACACG